CTTTCGGATGTATATTGTAGTTACAAACGTTGTTGTAAACCAGTGAGGTTGAGATTTTAGGATGTATATTGTAGTTACAAACGTTGTTGTAAACCAGTGAGGTTGAGATTTTAGGATGTATATCGTAGTTACAAACGTTGTCAGAAACCAATGAGGTTGGGATTTTCGGATGTATATTGTAGTTACAAACGTTGTCAGAAACCAGTGAGGTTGGGATTTTCGGATGTATATTGTAGTTATAAATTCACTGTTGCCATATGCAACTATTTAATATACATCCTGAAATCCCAACGTAACTGGTTTCTGACAGCGTCTGTAACTACAATATATATCCTAAAGTCTCAACCTCACTGGTTTCCGACAACGTTTGTAACTACAATATACATATGAAAATCCCAACCTAACTGGTTTCTGACAACGTGTTGGGATTTCAAAAGAGTAGACAGTGTACAGTAAGTGTAGACTCTGTAGAACCTCCAAGAGTAGACAGTGTGTAGTAAGTGTAGACTCTGTAGAACCTCCAAGAGTAGACAGTGTGCAGTAAGTGTAGACTCTGTAGAAACTCCAAGAGTAGACAGTGTGCAGTGAGTGTTTTCTGTTCAAGCTCATCTACAGTAGATAAATGAATAACTTTTGTTTTATACAAATAGTGCATTACTCTGTAATATTCTCTAAATATTCATACGTTATCTAGTACTGTCATGAATTTTAACGGTGTAATATTGTTAAAGTACCTTGGTATGTTAACACTGGAATATCGATATACTGAAAGTAAACTCTATTGGTCAATTAAAGTTTGTGAGATGTAATCAACTTGGTTCACGTATGTTTTCACGGTAGATAACGTGTTTTGAATTACTACTTAATTATTTTGCTTCCGGTTAATCTATTTGGGCAAAACAGGTACGATAATTTCTTGCTTATAATCTTCCTGGTTCGTCTTACGTTTTCCTTAACAACTTGGGAATGTTTATTACCGATTTTTCAATATTTTCTAGAAAAACAAACAACATGAACACAGGTTTAATATACAGATATTCCTTTACTGCAGGTCAGAGATACGAAGCTTCTGGGTGTGGCGGGGACAGATGTACCCATTAAAGAAATCCTGAAACTTGTTCCATCGTACAAGGTAATAAAAAACAATAACTTCACTGTTGCCTGACAACATCTGTAACTATGTAACATACACCCTGAAATCCCAACTTTACTGTTGCCTGACAACATCTGTAACATACACCCGGAGTTTCTACAGAGTCTACACTTACTACACACTGTCTACTCTTTGAGATTCTGCAGAGTATACACTTACTACACACAGTCAACTCTTGGAGGTTCTACAGAGTCTACACTTACTACACACAGTCCACCCTTAGTAGTTCTACAGAGTTCACACTGTCTACCCTTTGAGATTCTACAGAGTCAACATTGTCTACCCTTGGTGGTTCTACAGAGTCTACACTTACTACATACAGTCCACCCTTGGTGGTTCTACAGAGTTTACTCTGTCTACCCTTTGAGATTCTACAGAGTCCACATTGTCTACACTTGGTGGTTCTACAGAGTCTACACTTACTACATACAGTCCACCCTTGGTGGTTCTAGAGAGTTCACACTGTCTACCCTTTGTAATTCTACAGAGTCTACACTTACTACACACTGTCTACTCTTGGTGGTTCTGCAGAGTCTACACTTACTAAACACTGTCTACTCTTGGTGGTTCTACAGAGT